CCCGCCCCAGCGCCTGGCTATTTTTTGGTTGCAGCCGTCGCTGTTGTTTGGCAGGCCCGGGCTAGATTCAAACCCTCCACCTTAGGTGTATGTGGCTGGCACCTTAGCCACTTGAGCCACAGGCGCCAAGCCTACACCTGCTTTCAAAGTGACAGTGCACACGGCCTCATGCCTTTGCTAGAAGCAGTGTCAGGTTTTACGTTAAAGTGCTTGGTGCGATCACAGGCACGTGTGTCTCTGGAAAGACACAGGGAGAACCTTGTGCTGCAGGTGGAGGAGGGCAGTGCGGTGGCACCTTGAGGTCCTGTGGGGGCCGGGCTCCGTACAGCAGGGGCCCTCGGACTGCGTGCAGGTCATGGGTTGCCATGGTGGCCGCCGTACGCTTCTCACAGAGTTCTTCATGGAGCTTGGTCTAAAACCCAAGAGGAGAAACAAGGAAAGCTTTATCTGCAGCACAGTGAGGTGTCCAGTGAGCATTCAGCCCTCACCCAGGCACGTGTGGCCAGGGAACTTTCCCCGTCCTCAGGGTCCCCCCACCTTGTCATTCCCCTTCACAGAACGGTTGTTCATCCTTGACCCCTGGCCAAACAAGTTTTTATTTTGTAGAATGATCATCAGGAAAATTATCTGGTATGTTTAACAGCAGAATTTCTCTTCCTCTAATTCTAGCACACCATATTTAAGATTTCAGAGAGCACATCTTGAGCTCTTTAATACCAAGTAAACAGAAGATTAAAGAAAGCATATTAGTGACTAGGGCGCCAGCCACATATACCAGGGCTGGCAGGTTCAAACCAGACCCGGGCCTGCCAAAGAACAATGACAACAACAACCAAAAAATAGCCGGGTGTTATGGCTGACACCTGTAGTCCCAGCTACTTGGGAGGCTGAGGCAAGAGAATCACTTAAAGCCCAAGAGTTTGAGGTTGCTGTGAACTGTGATGCCATGGCACTCTACCCAAGGTGACATGGTGAGATTCTGTCTGGAAAAAAAGAAAAAACAAAACCCCCACACATCTTGGCTGGGCACCCATAGCTCAATGGTTAGAGTGCTAGCCCCATGCACCAGGGGTGGCGGGTTGGAACCTAGCCTGGGCCTGCTAAACAAAATCCAAACCAAACAAACAAAAAATTGGGTAGGGTGCCAGCCACACACACTGAGGCTGGTAGGTTTGAACCTGGCCTGAGCTAGAATAATGATGACAACTATAAGAAAAAAAATAGCCGGGTGTTGTGGCAGGCGCCTATAGTCCCAGCTACTTGGGAAGCTAAGACAAGAGAATTCCTTAAGCCCAAGCGTTTGAGGTTGCTGTGAGCTGTGACGCCATAACACTCTACCCAGGCGACATAATGGGAAAAAAAAAGGCACGTCTTTCTTCCAAAATGCTGGTTTTCAAGTTCTAAAACCTGGACTCAGTGTGCCTACGTGCTTCCTCCTAAAACTGCAGGGATTGCTCAGGGGGCAGCAGGCAGCAGGGGTGCTCCACAGGCTGCAGCCACCTCTGTGGGCATGGGCCGGGGTGGGGTGGGGTGGAGTGTACAAAGACATGCTTTTAATGTCAACAGCTGGGCAGATGTCACAGAACACAGCCAACTGGGAAACCTAAACAGAAGTGGAACAGTTCCCATAGGAGTGGCAGCAAGAGCTGATTCCAGTACTACCTTACATAAAATCAAATGTGTAGGGCCGTGCCTGTGGCTCAGTGAGTAGTGCACCGGCCCCATATACCAAGGGTGGCAGGTTCGAACCCGACTCCGGCCAAACTCCAACAAAAAAATAGCTGGGCATCATGGAGGGCACTGGTAGTCCCAGCTATTTGGGAGGATGAGGCAACAGAATGGCCTAAGCCCAAGAGCTGGAGGTTGCTGTGAGCTGTGATGCCACAGCATTCTACCAAGGGTGACAAAGTAATACTCTGTCTCTTAGAAAAAAATCAAATGTGTATTTATTTGTAGAACTCAGAAAATCCACCAAAATATCATAAACTTAAGCAGCCCCAATTTCCAAGGCAATAAAGCTGTCCTTAGAAATGGTGAAGAACTGTACACAGAGAAGCAAAGGGCAGGGGCGAGGGGCAAGTGGCCCAGCAAGATCAGAGCTGTGCGTGAAAAGGGTGCTCTGGAGGCCAGGCCACGTGCCTGCTGCCGCTACAGACAGAGGAGAGGCCATGGCCTCCTGGGCCATACGGTGGACCCTTCCTCACCAGCACCCTAAGGCAGTGACTGCTCTGGCCCCATTTTCAAGGTGAGGAAACTGAGGCACACGGACACCCAGCTGATCTCCCTTGCACCCACTTGCCCCTGGACTCGTCCCACAGTGGTTGCCCACACCCCTGCCAACTGCGGACGCTGTGTGTACCCACCTGTGCTGCGAGGAACCGCTTGAGTGCGTTCCCGGGCTGCAGGTCCATGCCCCGCACGACAGCCCCCACAATGTAGGGCCGCACGTCTCTGACCTCGGGGCTCACCCGGACCGTCAGGGGTGCAGGGTTTTCAGAGACATGCAGGACCCGGAGCAGGAGCCGGCCCAGGGCCCCAGCCTCCTGCTCTGGCCCCTCGCCACCGTCCCTCCGGGGCTTCCTCTCTCGCCGCTTCCTACGGCCCTCGTCCTTTTCTGAGCCTTCTGCCCGGGCCCTGCCCTTCCCATAGCCCCGGCCCCCGGCACGCAGGTACTCTAGGATGGACCGTGTGGGGCAGCCGCCGAGCATCTTCTCCAGTCGCTTGTCCCGCAGCTTGTTTCCATGGAAGTTGATCTCCTTGAGCTTGGGGCAATCGGCAAGTTCAGCAGGGATCTCGCTCAACTGGTTATTGGACAGATCTAAGGTCTGGGAAGATAAGCCAAGGACTCATCAGATGACCTGGACTCTGGGAAAAGAGCCCAAGGCTGTGACACTGTGCACCTGTGAGACTTTCCCCAACTCTGGACCCCATGAGGACGCCACTGTCCAGGGTGCTCCTCCAGTGCAGAGGAGTCAGCAATGAACAGCACAGCCCCTAGGAAATTTTCTGACTCCCACACCTCACTCTTGTGTCCGATTACCAGTCGTGGTAACGACAGTAACATTTTGGACCAGCCACTGGGTTACAGAGGGAAAGGGACCAGGGAATGGGCTGCCTCGTTCAATATAAACCATAAGCTTACTTCACAGACAAGTCAGTACTGCCTCAGATGGGAGATGAGATCCCAAAATAGTGCTAATTTTTTTTTTTTTTAAAACAAGCTCAAAGAAAGAACACAGCAAAATCTCCACACGACATTACTCTTCATACTGAAGCATGAAGTCACCAGCAAATGCACGTGGGAAGGAAAATGGTGAGTTGGCTGTAGTGGCGCCAGACTCTTAGCTCTCCTCTTGCCCAAGAGAGGGGTCAGGACCACTCCTGTGGTGCCGGGAAGGTCCCCAGGAAGCCCTGCAGGCCCTGGGAAAGCGCCATCTATCACAATTACAGAAGAGACTCGGCAAAATACACGGTTGGTGTCTCTGAGATGGCCAGCGCAGCGGCACCCCCACATCCACAGGGAGGCTTTGGTCTGGGCTGGCTTGTTATGTTGTGGAGTTTTGCACTGTTCATGTCTTAACACTCAGACAAGTGAGAGTGGTCACACTCTAAAGAGAGGCCTCCTGTCAGGGCTTGTGCTTACTGATTTAACCAAAAGATAATGGTGATGTGTCAGGAGGCTAGTTCCAGGTCTAAGCCTGAAGAAGGCCTGGTAGCTGCTGCTTTTATGTTGAGGACCTGGGGAAGGAGAGGCCCCCACATATGATAGAAGGGCAGCCAGCCCAGCATCTCAGCTGAGCACGCCCCTGAGCCCACGCTGGCATGTAGCCACACAAGTGACCAACAGCAAGAGCAGCGCAACGCCCAGCTGAGCCCACCCAGAAGGGACAGCCGCTGTTTTAAGCCTGAGTTTTGAGCTCATGCTGTCATGATGACTGCAATGGCCACCAATGTCTTATACTGACAGAAATTCAGCCCAGTGAGGACACCAGAGGGCCTTTGCATGCAGAACTGCAGTCAGTGCAGCACATCACTGCATGGTTCTGGCAGCCATTCTTCACAAAGGCCTGCCTGCAAAAGCCATCCAAGTCCAACAAGGGATTCCAAGTAGCTCTTGCATGACACTCTCTAAAAAAACAATCCTCTTGGCTCAGCACCTGTAGCTCAAACATCTAAGACACCAGCCACATACACCTGAGCTGGCGGGTTCAGCCTGGGGCCCGCCAAACAACAATGATGGCTGCAACTGAAAAATAGCCGGGCATTGTGGCAGGCGCCTGTAGTCCCAGCTACTTGGGAGGCGAAGGCAGGAAAATCACTTGAAACCAAGAGTTGGAGGTTGCTGTGAGCTGTGATGCCACAGCACTCTACACAGGGTGACAGCTTGAGGATCTGCCACAAAAAAAAAAAAAGAAAAAGAAAAGAAAAGAAAGAAAGAAAGAAAATCCTCTTGATATGAAAGAGATTTGCTGGAAGTCTCAGACTTACAAACGTAATTACCAGAAAGGGACTTGTCCTCCTTTTTTTTGGATTCAGAAACAAGACTCACTGTTTGACTCAAATGAACCTGTTTTGGTCATGATAACAACTGCCACTTTATTGGATGGGTACCACAGAGAGCCACTCACAGTATTTTTTTTTTTTTTTTTTTGAGACAGAGCCTCAAGCTGTCCCCCTGGGCAGAGTGCCGTGGCATTACAGCTCACAGCAACCTCCAGCTCCTGGGCTCAAGCGAGTCTCCTGCCTCCGCCTCCCAAGTAGCTGGGACCACAGGCGCCCGCCACAACGCCCGGCCATTTTTTGGTTGCAGCCGTCATTGTTGTCTGGCGGGTCCGGGCTGGGGATTCGAACCCGCCACCCTAGGTGTACGTGGCTGGCGCCTTAGCCGGTTGAGCTATAGGCGTCGAGCCTTTTTTTTTTTTTTTTTTTACAATCTGAATACTGGGAAGACATCTATGAACTTGAAGATGATGCAAGGCACTGCATTAAGATACACACCTGCTGTATCAACCTCCCAGAAAAATAAGACATCTATTAGCTAGGAAGGTACAGTACAAAGTCTTAGACATCATATGTCACACCTCAGCCATGAAAGCCAACAGCCCTGATGGTCAAGGTACCTCAGAGTGTGGCTCTACAACTTCTTCCAGGGAATGTCAGCAAGCACCTCACTGCAGAGTTATCTCACACACACGTTCTTATATAAACATGTCTTTACATAGATGTATTTGTGAAATGAGCTACAGTGTCTTCAGAGTAACTTCTACAGTAAATAGACCAGTTACTAAAGTATATAAACATTTTATGAAGAGATGTCTACATTGGGCAGTGCCTGTGGCTCAGTGTGTTGGGCGCCGGCCCCATATACAAGGGGGTGGTGGGTTTGAACCCGGCCCCGACCAAACTGCAACAAAAAAATAGATGGGCATTGTGGCGGGCGCCTGCAGTCCCCAGCTACTCAGAAGGCTAAGAGAATCACCTGAGCCCAGGAGTTGGAGGTTGCTGTGAGCTGTTACGCCACGGCCCTCTACTGAGGGCAATAAAGTTAGACTCTGTCTCAAAAAAGAAAAAAAAAAAAGATGTGTACATAAACTTGGATGAAAAATGAAGAAACGCAGGGCTGCCTTTTAAAGGGTGACATGGAAGGGAAGGTGTGGATGTGCCAGGCTACTTCCCTCCTTCCTGGAGGTAACAGGTGCTGTCATGGGCCAAGCATTATGCTGGAGGTGAACAGGTACCAATCCCCAGACAATAGCGTCGAGAGGAGAACCCAAGTCATGAGTTATTTTGGAGAAACACTTTGCCTTTCTGTGAAACAGGAATAAGCACCCCTATCTTGGGAAGCTGTTGCGTGAAACACCGTGTGAAATCACGTCATGTGGTACTAGGGGGATTCCTGCTGTCCTACACATTTGTGGTTTACCTTTGTATTCACCCCCAAGGCTCACTCAGTCACTTCACAAATATGAGATACAAGGAACTGGACACGGGCATGGGTCCCCGCCCCCAAACCGCTGACAGAAAGCTAAGCTCGCTAACAGCTACAAAACAGCATATGGTGTTAAAATCCAGGTGTGAAGAGAACATGGGGGCAGTTCTGAGACCACCGAGTTTGTGGGTCTGGTCAGGAGGAGGGGGAGTAGGGGACGAGGACGGCCTCCCAAAGTGATGCCACTGGAGTCGGCTCCTTTGAGCGAGTAGGGATATCCCAGGCCCAGTGCCCCATGGGGCATCTCCGAGAATAGCTCTGCCCCAAGGGAGGCGTCCCTCTCCCGGGCTTCTCCAAGGTTCCATACCACCCCGCCCACTAAGCCCCTGCTGACCTTGAGCGAGGCCAGGTGGGCGATGTCGGGGCTGAGCTCTCGGAGGCAGTTGTCAGCAGCCGCCAGTTCGCTGAGCAGGGGCAGCGCACCAGGGCTGAAGAGCGCGGCGGGGAAAGAGTCCAGGCAATTGCCGCTGAGGTTGAGGCTCTGCAGGCGCGGGGCGCAGCGGGCCAGGTCTGCGGGCAGCTCGCGCAGCCGGTTGCCGCTGAGGTTGAGGCTCTGCAGCTGCGGGAGGCCGGGCGGCTCGGCGGGGCCAAGACCCTGGCCGGGCGGCAGCGCCTCCAGCGCGTTCCCTGAGAGGTCGAGTACCCGCAAGGCGGGCAGCGGCCCGAGCTCGGGGTTCAGGCCGGGGCCCAGGGCGTTGCGCCGGAGCACGAGGCTGTGCAGCTGCGGCAGGCCCTGCGCCAGGCCCGGCCCCGGCGCGCGCAGGCTCCCGCAGCCGCTCACTTCCAGGTAGTGCAACAGCGGCAGGGTGAAGACTCGAGGCGGCAGCCGCCCGCCGGCCGCCCGCACCCGCTCCTCCAGTCCCGGCCCGGTCAGCAGCAGCTCCCGCCGCCGCTCCCGCTCCGCCAGCTCCAGCTCTGGCCAGGACTCCGGCACCGCCGCAGCCGCCATCACGCCGCCGCCCCAGCCGCCTTCTCGGGGCGCTTCCGGGTCGGAGCGCCTCCTTCCGGCCTGCACCGGAAGAGACCATAGAGAGCGCGCCCGGCTGCTAGAGAGTCGCCGCGCCTGCGGCCCGGGAACCTCTGCTCGCGGCGAGTGGCCTGGCTCTCTATGAGGTCGAAAGGGCACAGGTCGCAGGGCGCGGGGCGGCTCCTTGGGAAGTTCTGCATTTTCCTGCTCTGGCCACCTATGTCCGGCGTTCTGCTCCCGCTGCTGCCCGGGGGTCGGGCGCTCCCAGGCCGCCCCTCCTCCTGCGCTGCCCTCCGCGCCCTGCGGGACCCCGCGACGGCACGCTGGGGTTTTCCTGGAAGATCGTGCACACGCGTAGCGGCTTGGCCTTCGGTGCCTGGGGGTACCTGGGGTCTGTGTCTCGGGCACACACATGTAGCGGTGTGTCTAAGTTGACCAGACGCCCCGCTTTTGAACAATTTGTCCCGCGGCGATTTAAAAAAGTCCCGATTTTTGGAAAGAATGCATGACAAGCTAGGGAACAGCGGGAGAATGGGAAGGGAATATACGGTTTTCAGCTGCTGAAAAGGTTAATGTAACTCCATTTGGGAATGAAGAGGTTAATGTAACTTCATTTGGAAATGAAAAGGCTAAGGTAAACTCTCTACTCCCCTCCTGGGCTCCCTCCCTAGCTTCTAGGCAAGGACAATTAGCTCAGAAGGAGCCAAACTGTGTGGAACAAACAAGTAGCGCCCCCCCCCCCCCCCCAGAGTAAGGTGACTGGACGCCCTGCTTTTGGCAGGACAGTACCAACTTTTAACAATTTGTCCTGCGTCCTGTGGCGTTTTAAAAAAGCCCCGATTTTTGGAAAGAATGCATGACAAGCTAGGGAACACGGGAGAACAGGAAGGGAATATACGGTTTTTGGCTGCCATGTGGCTATTGAGCCGGGATATGCATTTTATATTATTTTTGTTAATTTTATAATGTTAAACTTTAATAATAACAAATAATTGTGGAGAACTGATTATCGAGAACTGCTTATCAAAGTTTGCATTGTTGTCAGGCCCCTCCCCCCATGGTGTCCCACTTTACCAATGTTAAAATCTGGTCACCTTAGGTGTGTCTCGCTTGCAGTTTCTATGGAGTAGACTTGGGGAAGAGTCCAGCCGCACAGGCTGGAAAAGTTTTGTTTACAGTAGCCCAGTGGGACAGGAAACAGCTCGGTGTGCAAGAGAACCACGTCCCAGGTGGGAAATGCGCGCTGAAGCACACGCAGCAGCTGAAGGATTAGCGACGGCTTCGCGCAGAGGAAGAAGGCGGGTCTCGGAAGAACACAGCGTGAATCCCTGTGTTTCGTTTAAGGCAATGCCCATTTATATGTGGTAAATCCATGAAGATAACCCAATGATTATTTCTGAGCAGCAAGGCTGAATTTACTATCTTCCGAAGCAACGGGGACCTGCAATCTCCTTGAGTGGTGTCTAAACAGGCCTTGTGTCTCATCTCCGTGAAAAGTTTTTGAGTATCTTCCAGGTTGTAGAGACCTTCGCTGACCGAGGCAAAGATCTCGCTCAGTGCAGGCTTATTAACACAGTTGAGGGTGCGCCCCGGCGAATCACACCACAGACAAATCTGTAGCTGTTCGTCCAAGGGGAAGTTGGGAAGTTTCAGTATTTGGTGGGGAGGAAGGGATTCGAAAAGGCAAAAACGGTGGGAGGGTGGAGTGAGACAACTGAGACAATAAAATGGTTACGTTCTTGGGAGACCAGGAAAATCTACATTTTAGATCCAAGGAGAATATTAAAAGAGAAGCATCAATATGTGACGTCCCTGTGTCGGTGGAAGAATGTCTCATTCTGTCTTGTCTCTGTTCAGTGCCTGTGAGGATAAACTTGTGTCAAGGAAAAATCTTAGGTCTGTTGAACGAATGGGCCCGCCTTGGTCACGGGGACCCCGCCCCTAAAGCTGAGTTGCTGACCTTGAAAGGGAGGTCAGGCAGGCCTCTCCTGCCCCTTCCCTTTCTTGGAGATATCCCATGTATGTCAATATGAGGCCTAAGGCCATTTAGAGGCAAAGCTTAAACCACACCTGCGGATCCTCAGTTTACTTAACAGCTCACCCTAACCCTATGTTATCCCTATCTGGTGGCTCATCTGTGATTAGTAGACTAACTTATCAATAAAGCTCAATCTTTTATAATTATCTTTATTGGGACTTGTTTTAAAAAATCCTTATCTAATTCAAGAACGGAAAAGAATTGCACCTGTGGTTTTCCTACTGACAGTTTTATGTGGCTCAGACCAGTAATCCCAGCACTTTGAGAGGCTGAGGTAGATCTCTTGAGGCCAGGTGTTGGGGACCAGCCTGGGCAACATAGCAATACTACAGACCCTGTCTATTAAAAAAGAAAAATTAGCCGGGCATAGTGGCTCCTGCCACTAGTCCCAGTGTGTTGAGAGGTTGAGGGGAGAAGATCATTTGAGGCCAGAGTTGGAGAGATCAGCTTAGTGAGACCCCATCTCCAGCATGAGGTGGTGCCCGCTATGGTCCCAGCCATTGAGAGGCTAAGGCAGGAGACTCACTGGAACCCAGGAGTTCAAGGTTACCGTGAGCTACCACATTGGGCCACTTCAATCTAGAAGACAGACTGTCTCTTAAAAAAAAAAAAAAAAAGCTGATAGAAGCTTAAAACCACTCTACAGATTTACAGAGAAAATTCTGAATTGTACTTACTTGAAAAACCAAATAGCCTCTTGTGCTGGTAAAAATAACCTCTGTCAAAGGGGAAAACAGAACATGAAGTGCAGTCCTTTATTGGGCACAGACCTCAGAACACCCTGAATTCATTCTACGGGATGAAATTGGTCAATTTTCTTTTTTTTTTTTATCCTTTTTTTTTTTTTAAATTAAGTCATTTGTACATAGATCATAAATACATTTATGCCATTATGGGATTCAATGTATTGATTATTTGTACAAATTGGAGTGCTTACATCCTACTAAACAACATAGCCTTCACCTCATTTACCCAATTACAGGATTAAGACATTTGTGTTCTACGCCTGATAGATCCAACCTGTACTTGCAATATGTTCCAATGTGGTTCCCCCTACCAACCCTCCCTCTATCAACCCAACCCCTCCCTTCCTCTCTCCCTCCCCTTCCCTTCTTCATCCTATGTGATAGTTGTATTTCATTTTTCATATGCATGTGTGAGTGACTGTAAATTGGTTTCACAGTAGTACTGACTACATTGGATTTTTTTTTCCATTCCTGAGATACTTTACTAAGAAGAATATTTTCCAGCTCCATCCATGTAAACATAACAGAGGTAAAGTCTTCATTTTTTTAAATGCTGCATAGTATTCCATGGTATATATATACCACAATTTATTAATCCATTCATGGGTTGATAGGCACTTGGGCTTCTTCCATGACTTGGCAAGGTCAATAATTTTCTTAATACATAGCTCAAAACTGTTTAGCTTCAGCAATGAACTCATTTTGACAAATAACTTATTTTAGGGGCCAAATTCAAAGCAACTTAATATAATTTTCAATGTTTTGTGAGGTTTCTTGGCTAGCTATGCTTGCATGTTTATTAAAGTAAATGTAATTTACAAATTGCTTTCTGATTATCTTGAAATGAAAGTGACAAAACATTTAGTGATCTTTTATTAATATACTTAGGTGAATTAACCCTTAAGCCCTAAAGCAACAAAAATATATTACTTATAATTCTGGTGCTTGAAATCAAGACAAATAGAAAACTGTTAAAATATTACAAAGTTGCAAATTTTCATTAAAAAGTATATACATTTGTATTTTAATGCCAAATTTATAGATACAATTCTTTTAAATTATTGAATAGCATTCTTAAAATATGAAAGTAGAAATAAATATTAAATATACATAACATACTCATGAGTGAAAATTCAATTATGAATTAGTGTTCCAAATTTAGATATTTATAATATTTATGAATGGCTAAGCGATCTTAAGAGTTCCTTTTGAACTTTTTGTCCTTTATTCTGGGTCCCTTAATAATGTATAACTCTAAAGCTCTGAGTAGCATTAATCACTGCCAGAATCATTTCAACATAAACATGATTCTTCCATAACCAGCTAGAGTAACCTGTTTTCAATGAGCCCAAATGTGTTTGTCAATCACCAAAAATATTTTTACAAATATCTTCTGTAAGTTACAGTATAGTGGAGACATCACACATTGATGTTTCTAAAGTTTTGATTAGAGAGAAAAGAATAATTCCTTGGTAAACTGTTCTCATTGTACTATTTAAAGACGTGTTTTATCTGTACTTTAGAAACGGATTAGAAAATAATGACCAACATCTCTCTGAAACCAGAAAGAATCATTTTATAAATATCTTGGCATCTGTACTTTGTCTAGTAAAGTGTTAAGTTATTTCTCCTCTCATACTTCTAAAAACTTTTAGTAAAGTGTATTTTTAATGGTTATTTTCTTGGTAGGTCTTAGTATTTGCAGTCAACCATATCAGAGGTGTCAGTTTGCCAAAAATGGGAGATTGATTAATGCAAATCATGGTTACTAATATATCCAGGCAGTATACTGCTCAAATACCTATTAGTTTTTATATATTTTGTTGTTTCACACGGTTGGGGATTAAAAAATATTATTTATATATTAATTGCATTATACAAATTTCATCAACCTTAAACATTCCTTGACTAGGATTGTGAAATTCGGCTCCCCTCACACTCAGGAAGAAAGCACGGCTCTGGGCAGGGCATGACTGTCCTTCAGGCTGCAGCGGGTGTGGGACTTGGGGAACAGAGGGTGACAGGACAGACGGTGGTTCCAGGCAGGTCAGATGGACCCTGGCTGTCCCTACAGCTGTCTCCGCCTAGACGGCGTGTGACTCAGAAGTTCCTGGAAGGAACCCTCGACTCACTTCTGCAGGACCACAGGGTGGGAGGGTGGGTGAAGATCTGCTTAGGGGACTGTTTTTTGAGGTTTGGTTTCACCATTTTAAGCAGTTTTGGTGTTTTAAACATCCTGTGAACCATTTGAAAAAAGTAGATTTACAGTTCCAATTACAATATGGATTTGAAAGGGACAGTACAATAGACCCAGACCAGAAAGATTTTGAGCCTGTGGACTTACGCTGAAGACTCCACCATAGATAGTTACTATATGCAGAAGCTATTCTATGCTTCAGTCTAAGCAAGATTTTAAGAAAGGGTAGTTCTGACACATGGTCAGTCAGGTGAGCACAGGCAATCAGGTCGAAAATCATTTAACATTTTTTTTTGCAGGAATTTAGAAGTGTGGAGAATTTGAAGTACCTCTGAGCAAAGGCCTGCTACGGCCCCATGAGCGAAGTCCGTGTCTGCCCCAGTTGCAGTGGGTGAGGTCTGTGGGTAACATGCACGCACAGGCGAGTGCTGCACTGGGCTGCGCTCAGGAGCTCCTTGGTTTAGATTTCCCTTTTTACCTTTACTTCCTGTTGTCATGGAAACCTGAGCTCTGCAGATGCCAACACCCTGCACTCAGCAGCCGGCAGAAAGCCTAGGGGCAAGGCCTGCAGGGGAGGGCGGCGCAGTGGAACCTCTGCACACCATCCAGCCCCTGGGACTACAGCCCAGCTGAGACAAAGCCCTGGGGAAATTCTACCAGGTGTGACAGAGACCAATATGCAAAGAGTTTACAGTAAATTTTTTATGGAAATTGCTGTAAGCAATTAAGAAAAGCAGAAGTTGTGTGTGCTGCCTGCCTGGGGGCTGCTTTCGTACCTCCCGGTGCAGGGATTTCTGGTTCTTCCCACACAGACCGGCTACTCTTCATGTTCCTCACAAAGGCCTGACAAAGTCAGAACCTGAAAGCCCAACACAGTGTGGTGAGGACAAGGGCTCTTTGGTCAGTTGCACACATGTCGTTTGCTCCTTATGCTGACGAGTAAGGGCCCCAGGCATGGCCCAGCGGGGCACCGGGACACCAAGGCCAAACAGAGTTCTTAGTCCCGCGCAGCAGACCGACACCCATCATCGCTTCGTGTATGTCCTGCCAGAGCTTTTGCTCAGGCCCCCCTTTGGTGTAGGGATCTTGCTTCCCATCTTAGACCCAGAGAGGCCTGTCCTGGCCGCTGGGGGGCCTCTACCTGCAGCAAAACACAGGGGCTGTGTCAGGAGGCGGCTGCAGGCGTGGAGCAGACACAAACTGCAGCAATGGGGTGGGGGTGGAGAGTGACCAGACGCTGGCAGCAGGACCCAGGGGCAGGGACTGCGGCTGTCGCTCAGTCCACATGGGGCCAGGCAGACGGGCAAATGGGTGTAGCAGCTGTGCTGACTACAGAAGGAACCCCATGCGGGCACCAGGGGAGGAAGGGCAGAGGGAGCACCTGGCAGAAGAATGCAGTGCCGAGCTACTTATGCAGTGATAAGCTCCATAAATGGAGAAAATGAACAGCGTGTGATCAGGTTAATTTACTGGTCAAGTACCACCAGCAGGCTGCTCTGACATCTTCACTCATGGAAGGGGTTGAGATGAGCACATGCTGGCACCAGGTGTTGCGCTCAGCACAAGGCCTGGCACAGTCTGGCTCTTCACACCTTGCCACTCCTGTCTTATTATAAGGATGAGTCTTAAAGTTGTGTATCCATAGCTCAGCACCTATGGTTATAGTGCTGGCCATATGCACCGAGGCAGGCGGGTTCGAACAGGGCCCAGGCCAGTTAAACAACAGTGACAACTGCAACAAAAAATAGCCAGGCGTTGTGGTGGGCGCCTGTGGTCCCAGCTACCTGGGAGGCTGAGGCAAGAGAATTGTTTAAGAGAATTGCTTAAGCCCAAGAGTTTGAGGTTGCTGTGAGCTGTGATGCTACAGCACTCTATTGAGGGTGACATAGTGAGACTCTGTCTCCAAAAAAAAAAAAAAAAAAATATATATATATATATATATATATATATAATTCCTGAACAAAAACCATTGGATACAGAAGTTTTTTGTTTTTTTTTTTTTTAGACAGAGTCTCACTATGTTGCTCTGGGTAGAGTTCTGTGGCGTCACAGCTCACAGCAACCTCAATCTCTTGGGCTTAAGCCATTCTCTTGCCTCAGCCCCCCAAGTGGCTGGGACTACAGGTGCCTGCCACAACACTTGGCTATTTTTTTGTTGCAGTTGTCATTGTGGTTTAGTTGGCTCAGGCCAGGTTCAAACCCACCAGCCTCGGTATATGAGGCTGGCGCAGTAACCACTGTGCTATAGGTGCTGAGCCAATAATAATTTTCTTATGAAAGGTACTATATTTTCTTGCAAGGCATCATAAATCTGACACGAGAGCTAAACTTAAGATTTGTAGTGCATGTGGGGGGATTCTCTATGGGTCTGCTATTTTTCATTTCCAAGAACCTCTGGAGACTAGGTGGCAGCTCACACCTATAATCTCAGCACTTTGGGAGGCTGAGGCAGGAGGATCAATCGAGGCCAGGAGCTCAGAACCCTTCTGGGCAACATAGGGAGACCCTGTCTCTACCAAAAATAAGAAAAATTTGGGTGTGTGTGTGTGTAGTCCCAGCTACTCAGGAGGCTGAGGCAGGGGGATACTTGAGCCCAAGAGTTCAAGGGTGCTATGAGCTGTGATCGTGCCACTGCACTGCAGCCTGGGTGACAGTGAGACTTCATCTATTAAAAAACAAGAAAGACTTTGGAGTCAGTGAGGCAGGAAGAGTGTGAGGACCACTGTGGGCATCTTGAGAGAGCCGCTAAGTCTTGTTACTACTGAATTGATGTCCCTGTGAACCGTTCAGAATGAGCAGCCACAGGATGGTGCATGTGGGGAGACCGCAGGCTGTTGTGAATGAATCAGGATGGAGGGCGGAAGGGCTGCACTGGGCTTACCGGTCAGCGCCTGGGCCCGCTGCAGAATGTGTGTCTTCCGCAGGTTCATGGTACAGCCAGCAGGGCCCATGAGGTGAGCCTTCCATGCCTGCAAGGAGAGGAGGCCTCGGTGTGAACCAGGCAGCCACGATGAACCTGCCCCCAGGCCCAAGACAACTGGCCATGCAAGATGACAGTGAGGGGAGAAGAGCTGCCCCCCATCCCGTGTGCACCCTAGGCTGCGCCGTCCCCACCTCTGTCCAGGGCCTGCCTCGGGACGCATGTGCTCCTCCTGTCCCGAGATGGGACCTTCAGTAGCAGCATCTCCCGAGACTCCGGCCGGGGACGGAGCAAGTGCACATGCAGTTTACAGGGAACAAGCAGAGCACCTGCCAACACTGCCCGGGCTGGAAACAGGCCCCCAGTCCTCCCTCATGCAGCCCGCAGGTCCTCTGGGGTTTCAATGTCTTGGTCTTTGCTTTTCCTTAGTTACACCACATGTTCTGATCTCCAAGGCCCAGTTTCCTGGAGGACTCACCTGTGCCATCCTGGACCTAGCCAGCCTGAATGGCAGGCTGCCCCCTCTGAATGCTGTTTTCCCTTTGATTCATCAAGGCCTCCCAGGGCGGGGCTGCAGACCTGCCTCTGCCCACTCTCTGCTCCCTGCTCCCCTCCTCTGTCCCGCTCACCAGGGAGATCCACATCATGTCCCTCATGCTATGGACGTCCCTGCCTCTGTGACCTGACCTCTCGGCAGCACGGGGTGCACCTGCTCACCCCTCCTGGTGGGCAGGAGGCAGACTACCTCCATGGCCCTAATTCTTCTCCTTCCCAGCACAGAGGTAGGATCCCCTGTCCACCCCTTGAATTTGTGATGATGGTTTTCTTTAGCCAATGGAATAGTGGCTGATGGGGAAGACTGGGCTGAGCTGTCTGTTGCCTTTGCGATGCCACACCCAGGCTGGCCTGCTGGGGTCAGAGATATGGGGAGCAAGGCTGAATCACCTCAGCCGCCTCCAAGACCATCCCAGATCAGCTGGCAGCCAGCGCCCTGGACACGTGCACAGTGCCAGAGCCACCGTCCCCCTGCAGGCAAGTGCAGATGCCAGAGCAAGCTGGCCATGGTCACTGATGTCCTTGTTGATGGACTGTGCTCACGTGGCTTCCTCCCTCCACTCACTCCTTCACAGCAGCTTTGCTGGGTCACTTTCTCCCTCTGGCCTCCCCAGGGCTTGGCCTCTGTCTGGACAGTAGGCCCATGTCATGACCTTCACCGCCTCACATGCTGACAGGCCCCACGCTGACCCTGTAGCCTGTCTGAGCCGGCACCCAACTGTTGCAGACTCCTTGGCTATAGCCTCTCGCTCACCATGTGGTGGGGACCCCACCAGCAAGTCTTGCGGCACTTTCCGGAACTTGTTCAGAAGCTGATTGCTTCTCACCACGAGCTCTCTGCTTCACCCTGTCCAAGCTGGACACCTCCTGATGGTGGCTCCTGCTGGCCACTCCCTGCCCCACAGCTGAGTCTCACTCTCCACGAGGCAGCAGAGCAACAGGACCAATCCACGTCCCTCAGGTCAGGACAGCCCTCTGCCCTCAGCGTCCCCCAGGTCAGGACAGCCCTCTGCCCTCAGCGTCCCCCAGGTCAGGACAGCCCTCTGCCCTCAGCGTCCC